TTTCAATATCTCATGTTTATTATAGATTTGTCAATTATAAAAGTATTACTAAAGACTTGTTGTTTTTATTGATATTTTTCGGGTAGAAATTTTGCAACAGCCAAATCGGGCGCATTTTATGGACAAGGAAGTGGCAAAATTTGGATCGACGATTTGTCATGTAATGGTCATGAATCTATTATATTGCAATGTAATAGTACAGCATTAGGCACACATAACTGTCAACACAGTGAGGATGCAGGAGTACTTTGTTCACGTGGTACGTATGAATTTTAAATCTACAACAATGAAGAAATGTTTAAACACAGATAAGTAAACAAAATCACCATCCTCTGAAATATACCTCGTAAAAAAGTTGAAATACTGATAAATCACTGCAATTTCCTCATAAATCTATCATCGTTGCAAGAGACAAACTAGTTCTTTGGTCGAAAAAAAATTGTTTAAACCTTGGTTTGCATCAATATATTACTATTGTTTTCCTAGCCATATATCTTACATATATATTATTCAAATACATTCCATGATAGAACTGAAGTTAAACTGTTAAATGGTAAATATATATTCTCCATTGATTAAAAGTAATAGTTTTCTGTACTGTAATTAGGTCACCTGTACTGAAATCTCAGACGAACTTCTATGATCACCCATTGTCTGTCGTCCGTCTGTAAACTTTTTACATTTTCAACTTCTCAAGAACCACTGGGCCGGCAAATTTTAAAGAAAATTGTACAAAGCATCATTGTGTAAAAGGGAGGGCTACAGCTCCTTATAAGGGGTGATAATCTAGAAAAATAGTGCTGCATGGGTCATTAAAAATCTTCTTTTCAAGAACCACTGTGTAAGAAAATCGGAAACGTATGTGTAAGCATCCTCGGATTTTGTAAATTCTAAATTATTCAAATTATGATCCCTGGGGGTAAGGTGGGGCAAAAATTTTACATTGAAATACATGGGAAAATTTTCTGCTTAAGAACCACTGGATTTTAAAAGCTGAAACGTATGTGGTAGCATCCTCGGGTACTGTAGATTCGAAATTGTTAAATTCATAACCCCAGAGGTAGGGTGGGCCACAACAGGGAATCCAAGTTTTACATGGAAATATTTATGAAAAAAAAATATATTCCTAAAGCTATTTGCAAAAGCGTAAGTGACGGAAGTGCATGATGCTGCCTATTGTCTGTTGCTTTGCAGATGTTTAATCAGTTTGCTTGCGTGATAATTTTATACATAAACAAAGTTTGCTAGAGTGAAAATTTATGCATTTAAACAAGCAAAATTCGTTTATGCATAAAATGATCATGTGAGAAAAGCGACTGGGCATGATCTTAAAAAAATAACAAAAAACAAGAATTCTGATAGTTTTTTTAAGCATGCAATAAATTTATTTAGAATATGTAGCTTAAAGTTATCGGAGGTTGTATTACAGTTGAGGATGTTAGACTTGCTAATGGAAGCACAACTGCGATGGGTCGAGTGGAGATAAAAATTAAAGGTGCCTGGGGAACTATCTGTAATAACGACTGGGACGACAATGCAGCATCTGTAGTGTGCTCAATGCTTGGATTCTCAAGGTGAGACCCTGGAGACATGATTATTTGTTTGTTGCTTCTTGTGATTATTTGAATAGCCAGTACTTTAAAAAAAGTTTGAATTTTTTCGGAATAAAAATAACGGAAATAAAACCCGACAAAAATTTCATTTAAGGTCAGATGATACGTTCCTCAAATTTTGTATATTTTTATAATGTATGAAAAAGATTCAAAAATTCAATGACGATCTGATTTCTAAACCAGTTTCTGGTCATTAAAAAATCAAAACACCAAAAAAGTTGGTTTTGTAAGATTTTTCCCATAAGGCTTAGATGTATATAAGAAATACTACGCTCTGCTATCCTGCACAAATACCTGGTAAGAGAACTATTTTTTTAGTGAACATATCAAAGTAGCAATACTTCAAAGACAAAATCTTGAAAAAACTTATTTAATGATTAAAGAATGTATCATCTGCCCTTAAAGATAAACCTGAGACAAAGAGAATTAAGAATTAATTTAAAACAATTCATTGAAAGAAGTTGGTAACTAATAAACAAGAATTAAAAGATGATAGATAACAACAGGGTAAATTGGGAAAAAATTATGAATCTTCTCAGAAAAAATGCAGTGGCCAAGAACGGGTCTATCTTTGAACCAAGATATGGACCTATATGGATGGACAAGGTTAAATGTACAGGGAATGAGATAAATTTATTCCAGTGTCCTAAAGCAGAATTTGGCGATGACAATTGTGATCATAGCAAAGATTTGGGAGTTACTTGCTCACTTGGTAAGAAAATCAACAGCAGTATTTTATACCCTCGCTGAGGGTATATAGTAATTGTTATGTCCGTCCGTCTGTCTGTTACACTTTGGGGTACCCATCTCTTATCCGCAACTCCTCCCATACCACTGAATGCAATTTGATGAAACTTTCACAGAACCTTTATTACATATTGCCATTGTGCACCTCCTATTTTATTTTCGACCCAACACATATTTTGGGTTTACCATAGCAAAACATAGACACTGCCGTTTTATACATACGGGAGGCGGGGACATCATTTAGTGAGCTCATTGCTCAAAGTACCTCTAGTTTAATGAATATTTGCCGCTTTACCTTTTGGTATACATGTAGTTTCTCATTTAAGGTAAGATACTAATATCAGATTTTTAAACACTGATAGTTCTAAAGTTTTTTTTTGTTCACAATACATAAAATGTTCAAACATCGTTACGTACTTATGTCAAATAATTTTTTAAAGATATTGCTAACAAAATTGTAAGGTTCATTGCTTTAATTGTATTTAAGAAGAATTGCGATTTAGTTCTACAATTTGTAATCCAACTTATATCCATAGCTTCCTTTCTAAGGAGGAAATTCTTCAAAATCATATGCCAGTTTTGTACATTTTCAATATTCCCCAAAACAAAAATGAATATGAATTACCATATCATACATACATGTATACTGGATTTAAAACTTTATAAAATCCTCAGAAATGAAAACACGTAGTGGCTTCCAGTAAATATTCCCTTTCTTTACTTCTCATTAAAGTATAAACAATATTGAAGGAGAAACATCAAGAGGACTATATATGCAACAATACATTCGAGAAGTGGTGTATTTCAGATGTAGATACTTAAAAATTCCAAGGAACATTTAGAAATTTGAAATCACAAAATTTTATTAAAATCAATTACATCAAAACATTCTACTTTTTAACGCTTTATACAACCACTCCCAGTGTTAAAGTGAAGTCCAATCGTTTTGACACCATTGACTTCTGCTGTTTCAATAAAATTTGAAATCGTACATTTACTTCCATTAGTCATTTGCAAAATCATTCTGTCAAAAACATTCTGATTGTACATGCAAGAACTCTAAAGCTAATATTAAAAAGTAAATTGAGTTTCTGAGTGACACTATCTATGTTCTTTTTGAATATCATGTCTTATAACAAACTGTCAGAATTCCAATGAGTACCAACTTCACCCCGTTATTAGCAGAGCTATTTTGGTATGCATTTGACGCAGAATTTATTCAAAATCGTATACAGGAGAAGATGAAAACACTTGCCGTAGGGCGGGGTAGGGCGGGGCCACAAAAGGAAATCCAATTTTTACATAGAAATATATAGGAAAAATCTTTTAAAATCTTCTTCTCAAGAACCACTGGGCCAGAAAAGCTGAAACTTATGTGAAATCATCCTAGGGTAGTGTAGATTCTAAATTATAAAAATCATGACCCCCGGGGGTAGGGCGGGGCCACAATAGGAAATCCAAGTTTTACATAGAAATATATAGAACAAATCTTTAAAAATCTTCATCTCAAGAACCACTGGGCCAGGAAAGCTGAAACTTATGTAGAAGCATCCTGGTGTAGTGTAGATTCTGAATTGTTAAAATCATGACCCCCGGGGGAAGGGCAGGGCCGTAATAGGAAATGCAAGTTTTACATAGGAAAAATCTTTCAAAATCTTCTTCTCAAGAACCATTGGGCCAGAAAAGCTGAAATTAATATAGAAGCATCTTGGGGGTAGTGAAGAATCTAAATTGTACAAATCATGACCCCGGGGGTAGGGCGGGGCCAAATTAGGAAATTCAAGATTTACATATAAATACATAGGAATAATCTTTAAAAATTTTCTTATTGATCAAGAACCAGTGGGCAAAGATAGCTAAAACATATGTGAAATCATCCTGGGTAGTGTAGATTCTAAATTGTTAAAATCATAACCCCTGGGGGAAGGGCGGGCCCACAATAGAGAATCCAATTTTTATTTAGAAATATATAGGAAAAATCTTCATCTCAAGAACCACTGGGCCAGGAAATCTGAAACTTTGGTGGAGGCATCCTGGGGTAGTGTAGATTCTAAATCATTAAAATCAAGATGGGGAGTAGTGGGGGGTTAGGGGGCCACAATAGATATAAGAGGAGGGGAAATCTGGTAAAGAACTGTATCACAAAAATTACTCAGGTGAGCGATGTGGCCCATGGGCCTCTTGTTGTCAACTTCCCTGACTTATGCAGGAATTTACCTTTATCGCCTGCATCCAGAGTTTATGTACATCTCAATTGATTCGATACGCAAAAGCGTATCGAATCTACGCTTCTAAACGAGGTAAACTTTTGATAAACAAGTTGATTTAACAAAAATATAGGCAATCTTGTTTAAGATCATCATTTCGTAAGTTTGATAGTCGATACAATAACCTTGTTGGCAAACACAACTTATCACTGAGTCAAATACTGACTGATTTATACACTGAATTGACATCGGACCTGATCATGACAAAGAGCACACGGCGGGTGTGACCGGATGCCCACTCCTCTATGGCACGTGATCCCACCTCTCATTTGTTGGAGGTCTGTGTTTGCTTTGCTCCTATTCTGTATTGTTTTGTGGACTTTTGATCTTGAATACTATTCGTTATCTCTATATGTTTCATTACAAACTTATTGTTGGGCCGTATAATTTACACACTGAATTGACTACGGATTTTTTCGTTATTATCCGATTATGACAAGGATCAGACGGCGGGTGTGACCGGTCGACAAGGGATTCTCACTTCTCCATGGCACCTGACCCCACCTCTAATGTTTAAGATGCCCGTGTTTGCCCTGCTCCTGATTTTTATTCTTTGAATGAGATTAAAATACTGTTCATTATCTCCATATGTTACATTTGAAGAAAACTATTACCACAAAGACTTTTCTGTTTTATACATTGTTTTATGCATGTCCAGTTTTAAAAATGTTTGTAAACATATTATGTAGCCGTATTTTATTGAATGGCCGAGAATTTAGGTTTAGGATTAAAACGCACCAATTATAAAAGGAGTGATTATTTCTTAGGAATCATTAAGGAATTTTTGCGCACAAAGATACAACTTATTCAAAAAGAATAAAATATCCACTTTCTTGAGATTCTTTTCGACATCTTAATGTGATATGAAAAGAAACAAAATTTCTAAACAATACTACTGAGAATTTCGAAGTAAAAAATTGACCTCATTAAACCTATTTAAAACATATATTTGAAAACATTTGAAAAACCGTACAAAAAAATTGGTGCATAAGAAAAAAAAAATCAGATATTTGAAAAAGAAATTGTATTAAGGTATTAACTTTTTTATTCTGCGATAGTTTAAGAATAAAAATGGGTTTGATTCTTTAATAAAAATAAATCGAAGGGTTTTGTTGATTGAATGGTTTTCTTCTGATACAATAAACTTCTTATTAAAGTTCTGTGAATTTTTTCCGTGATATTCAAAACTTTAAATGGGAGAACAGATTTTTTAAAAATATTGTATATGATATAGATCTACGGATTGTCAATGGGTCCTCGGCTTATGAAGGGCGAGTTGAGGTCAAATTCGATGGTGTGTGGGGAACTGTATGTGACGATGAATGGGACAACAATGACGCTGCTGTTGTCTGTGGAATGTTGGGATTTTCAAGGTAACGAAATTTACTATAGGGAACTACTGTTTACTTAACTCGAGAACGTTTTTATCTTTAGGGCTAAATCATCACACTTGCCCGCTACATGTAATAATATAACTTTTGCAAATTAAATTAATACGAACATACAAGTCTTCTCTGCAATTATTAAAAAAGGTGAGTGTAAAACATTTATAGTATGATACTTTATCATAAAGAATAATTTGAGTAAATAGATTACATTAAGTTACGTAAATACCTTGATAATATAGTAAATTATAGTTTTGCCTACCCATGAGTAGACGTAAATTTTGTTCTAACTCCAGCGTAAAGATACGCAGGCTCTTAAATGAAAAACAAATATTTTGCTAGTCACGACTTTGCGCCAGCGTAGCGCTACGACTGGACGTTAGACCTTTGATGAAACGGCCCCGGGCTAGTTCCGAATTACTCCAGCTTATAGTTACGACTAGTCGTACGACTTTTTTTGAAACGGGCCTCCGGTTTATATTGTTTAAATGGACATCTGAGCTTGATTACTGTCCGTTATCTGCATGATCATATTATATTGTTTGATAGGGTGCACTGCTGATTTAGTTTAAACTGTTTTTTTTATTACAGAAAAAGTAATTCAACTAACACACTTTTATAATGAAGCATGAAAACAATACTATTTTTTTAATACTTGACATGTCTTAGATGCCTAGAAGAAATTATACCATTTAATTAATGTTTTCCTTTGATTTTTAGACTTTTAACATTGATTTTAAATACACATGTGTGAATGTTTATTCCAAATTCTATTCAAAATTTTCTTTTTTACCTTTAATATTGCTCTTAGGGAAAATGCAGTTGCTAAGAGGGGAGCTTTCTTCGGGAAAGGAAAAGGAACTATCTGGATGGATGACGTAGAATGTACTGAAGATGACAGAAATATAGCGCATTGTAAAGCACGAGAACTTGGGAATGAGAATTGTGGACATCACGAAGATGCAGGAGTTATTTGTGCCCCAGGTAGAAAAATTAAGCTATATGTTTGATTCTTTTTCGGATAAACACATTATGAAACAAATTGCATGATCAGATTTCTTCATATTTCTTCATGCTTTACTATTGAATGCCTAGCAATTAAAAATTTACCTAATTCAAAACAGAATAAAGCCTAGTTAAACACATATTTCCAGGGATACTTAGCCGAACCGATTTGTCTACAATTGAGAGTATACTGACATGCATGTCCATGTCTCCATGTGCATATTATAAAACAGAAAGAAACAAGAATACATTGACGTAACCAACAATTGTCGCCCGGAAAATAAACGAAGTAAAAAATGAAACCTAGAGTCTTTATCATCAAAAACCTTCGTGAAAAAAGACATGCATCTGAATGATGAAGACGATAGTCGAGAAGATTTTGAAAACTTATATTTCGTCGAATGAAAATCGAACAAAAACGATACCCCTTCAAAGTTTATCAATATCTTAAGTAAATAATGGCTGTATAAAATATTAATTAAAATTAAAAAAGAATTAAATGTTGGCTACATAAAATATAAATTAAAATCAGACACATGCAGCACCTATTTTTAAAAATATATTTCAATTAAAGAATATAAATCATGATCTGTGTAACGTACGTTTTTTATGCGATAAGTAAAAGTCGATGTTTTACAAAAAGGTCCTGTCGTTTATTCGATAGAAAATTATAACAGATTTTAAATATTAAAGAGTCACTCTATGGAATTACATATATTGTGTAATTTATAAAGATAAAGAACATTCTGATGTAATAATCCTTTTAATGTGTAAAAAATGTTTAATTCTGAATAAATTCTCCCACCTCAATCCAATAATTCTGGACCTCCTCAAAAGATGATGCATATTTTTGAAAATCATGATTAGGGGTTGAATAAGGTGTAAAGAAAAATTTGTTTCTTCTCTTAGACTCAAGTAAGTACATGTACATTATGAATAAATAACAGTAATAAATTTCGGGTGAACGAAAGAAAACGGACGCGTATACTAGAACAGTTGAACGCGTGATAGATACAAATACGTGTTTTGCGATGAAAAATGATGCTTAATTGTTTTGTCGTAAAGATTCGATCAAAGAGATTAATGCATTATAGAGAATTGCTATAAATATAAGTATTGAATTAAAATTAAGAAGGAGCAGAAATTAATTATTCATCGATATACGTACACATTTATTTGCAGAAAAGATCAGACTTGTTAATGGATCATCTTCAACTGACGGTCGTGTAGAGATCATGTATAGGGGTGTCTGGGGATCAGTTTGTAATGATGGTTGGGACGATAGGGACGCTACTGTTGTCTGTTTAATGCTTGGATTTTCAAGGCAAGAGAGAGAGAGAGAGAGAGAGAGAGAGAGAGAGAGAGAGAAAGAGATTTTAGCAAGAACATAGTCCATTCATTTAAGTTTCTTCCATAAAGTTGATTTTTTATGCATATTATGCAATAATTTCTATGTCTTCAGAAAAATCAAAAGATCGAGAGCAGAATCTTTCAAAACAGTTGCCCAGCAAAGGAATAATGCTTGGATGGCCGATGTTCAATGCAAAGGGAATGAATTGGATATATTTCATTGTAATCACTCAACACTGATACAACAAGAATGTAGTCAAAACTATTACGCAGCAGTCAATTGTACACAAGGTACATGTAGGTTGCATTTGCAAAATCACTTTTTAAGTTAAATGTATCTTCCACAACTCTTATAGCCACCTTCATCAAACAATAAAATGGGTAAAGATAAGGATCAGTGATCGATCTCAAAAATTCTAAAAGAACACAAATTTGTCAAAGGGGGGTAAACACGGAATGCTGGGGATTCCAGCGGTAGGATCAAGTGCTTAGGAAGAGTAAGGATTCACTGTCAACCTGTCATGTTGACTGTGAGAGGTAGACGGAACATTCCTTTGTCGAATTCAGTATAAAAACAAATGTCTATCAATTGGTATGGAACGAGTCAACGACAACGAAAAAAATACGAAATTGAAATTCTTGTAACATCAACTTATCTGTGAGTATCCTACCTCGGTTTGAAATGTGCTCATACTTGGAGCATGACTTTGGGTATCGAATAAGTTGGAAAATGTAAACATCATATACTAGTATATGCAGATGATAGCAGGGTATTACAACATGGATAAGGAATATTAATACTGACAATGGTAAAGTTTAAATAATCTTGTTTGTCAAACTCACTTCTTCGTGCCACTATATTTTTGTCATCGGTTGCGCAATCGCGCCAATGCCATTGTACTATTGCAATGTTGCTTCATCGTCATTGTACCATTGCTTTATCATTATAGCATTATCATGTCACAAACTATTAACCCAAACCTACAGTACCTGGCCATAATACAGTACGCAAAATGGCGGCCGTTTCAATAAAATGTTTTGACACCTGAGATTTCGTTCGTCATTTTTTCACTAAGAATGAAGTGGAATATGTCTTACCTTATTAATATTTCGTAATATATTCCTTTGCCTTTATGACAGCCTTAAGTCTCTTTGGGATAGACCTGTATAATTTTTTTATAGCCCTGGAATCGATCGACACCCAAATTTCTTTTACGACTCGAATTAAGTGCTGCCGATTTTTAATGTCCTGTAACCGGTGTTCATGTCGAACTTTGATTGTTCTCCATATATTTTCTATAATGTTAATATCGGGAGATTGACTTGGCCAAGTAAGGGTAGGAACATTATAATTTATTTTCTTCTTTCCAAGTGACGGTGATATACCCGAGTGGGGGGGGGGGGGAGAGTGATTACTGTATACATACCGAGACAAGCTGGCTGAAATCGTACACCGGGTTTCCTCCAGACATGTACTTTCCTGTCCTTGCCTAACACAACTTTCATTTCATCACTGAAAATAACTTGTGACCAGTTTTGTTCAACTGTCCAGGCCAATTTAGTCCGGCACCAGGAAATTCGGGCTTGGCGATTATTTTTAGAAATCGTTATTTTTTCAGAAGCACAGCATCGCTGTAACACTGTTCCTTTAACCTTCGTCGAACTGTCCTTCTAGAAGTTTGCTGGGGTAAAGATTCGTTTAAACTGCGGGTTAAATCAGACAAAGTCTGTCGCCGATTCTTCTTGACCAATCTTTCTAACACACGATCCCCCTTTCACTCACCAATCTTCTCCTTCCCGATCTTTCTCTGATTTCCACTGAACCCCTCTCTTGATTTCTTTTCAATACCTTCTGCACAGTATTTGGGTTAATTCCAACGAGTTCTGCAATTTTTCGGCTACTTAAACCATTTTTATACATCTAAACAATCGTCTGCTTTTTATCTGTTGACATGTCTTTCCCCCTCGGAGCCATTTTGTATGACGTACTAATCTATTCTAAGAATAGATGAACGGAACCCCAGTTCTGCGTGACGTCAGATATGACGCTTATGAATGGATGCACATGACTGTCAAAACTTGTTACTTTCAATCTACCGAGATATAGAGAAAGAAAATGCATGTTTAATTTTTTTACGGCCGCCATTTTGCGTACTGTATTATGGCCAGAAACTGTAGATGCATTAATGCGATATGGAAAGCCATGAGCCTATCCAGATATAAACTTGATACTCTGTGAATGTTTTACAACTGATACGAATCATCATGATCATTGTATCTAGGAAAAGTAAAACTGGTTAGTGGTCAGACACCAACGGAAGGTCTAGTGAAGGTTTTCTATAACGGTTCATGGGGAACGGTTTGCAACGACGAATGGGATGATAGAGATGCTGCTGTCGTTTGTTTCATGCTGGGATTCTCAAGGCAAGTGTTGTTATCTTGTATCAAAAACAAACTAAAAATAGATTTTGGAAAAAAAAATATTGTTTTATTCTATTACAACAAAATGATTCTATTTCTACTAAGGCCAGATTATACATTTTTACAGACTTCAGATTGAATTATCTATTTTTTATTTGTTATTTATCTGATTTACATTCCGATACAGACAGAATGCTACAGCACTTACCTCTTCTGTATTTGGGTACGAAACTGGAAGGATCTTGATGAATAATGTCATGTGTAATGGTGATGAAGAAGATTTATTTCAATGTAACAATTCACTTTCGGAATTCATAAACTGTGACCACAGAAAAGACGCTGGAGTAGTTTGTTCAGCAGGTGAGTGCTCTCTAGCTTTTTTTTTTTTATTTTTGCAATTATTTAAAAAAGTAAACTGATATTGTTAAGATATGCTATACACAGAAACATTACAACTGGTGTCAGAAGTAGGATATATCCATTAGCTTAATTTTGTTTATCAAACTATTTCTATTTAAAAACAAAAGATTTTTCTTTACATATTTTAATTGACCTAATACATTTTTTTCTCCAATATGTACTATGGAAACTGAAGAAAGTCTCAACGTCCCTTTCAAATCACACCCATCTTCACCAAATGCTGTGGAAGATAATTGGAATAATTCACCCACTTCCAATCTCTTATCCCCGATGGCATCAAATTTAGCACCATTTGCTAGGAATAGTCAATTTGATATGTTACATGTAATGTCTGATGCAAAGTTTTAACCAACAGTTGTTGGACATGAGACTGGAATATCATGAATTAAATGATCATGTTGATCATTTAGAAATAAGATTTGAAAATCCAACCCACAACAGGAAAGACAATCGTCACAATCTTACTACCCTAATGTTCACATTCACCCATCCAGTCAATTCTTTCTATGATTTCTACCCCATATCCATTTAGACCCAGTGTATGGGCAAAGGGAATATAACCCAAGCACAACGTCGGTTCCCATTACCCCCCTTACCTGAAATAAACAGGAACGAAAGCAATGTCTACCCCAGTTACACCCAAACCCAATGTAAAAATAAAGCTCCAAAGATCTGACGGCTCAGAGGACTTTGACGAGTACCTCGCTATATTTCAAATTTTAGTTTTCTTACATAGGTGGGATTATAAAAACAAAAGCACTGTACCTCGCCAGCAGCCTAACATGTGGTGTTCGTACCCTTATGAATGAATCAAAAGAAAAACAAGAGAGATTTTACTCCCTTTTGGAAATCCTTAACAGGAGATATGGCTCCATTGAGAGGTCTTTTATGTACCGTGCCCAACAAGAGGGTACAAATGAGACCTTAGCCGAATTGGCCCAATCTATTAAAAAGTGAACTCGGCAAGCATACCCAATGGCTGATCCAACCATTTTAATCATTCTTGTCCTCGATTAATTTATTGATGCCCTACAAGGCCGAGAAATGCGATTAAGGTTAATGGTAGCTAAGGTCGAGACATGAATGGAGCAGAAAATGTGGCTATAAAATGCAGATTGACAGATTCCCACAGAAATAAAACTGTCCATGTCATAAATGAAACTGACCATTTCCCCATTAAAAAAAAGAAAATCAAAACTTGTGGGATGAACCAAAAACCCTTACTCGAGAAATCTAAGCCCTGGTAGGAAATGCCCAAACTCCTACCAATAGTTTTGTTCAAACCCCCTATGCATTCTATTCAAACAAGGGCTCTTACCAAATTCACTCAGGAATAAAAGGACCCACAAATTATTTTCTAGCACCCAACATCGGGTAACGGTACAATATTACAAATGTTCCTTCGTTCATATTTTCTTACTTTTTACAATTAACGTTTCAGATTTAGAAGAGGATTCGATAAATTCTGATGAAAATTCTGTTTTTAAAGATGAAGATGTTACACGCATCATAGTAGTCTTAGCTTCTGTGGTGGGAGTCGCGGTGTTCGTTGTTTGTTTAATCATAATAGCTTCCAAAGGAAGGCGAAACAAAAGCAGACGAAATCCTGAGGCAAATGTAACAAATGGTGATGGTCTCGAAAATCCCTCTTACAATATCCCCCTTTATGGGAACATTGATAATTCAGAGCAAAATAAAGTAGGTACTATTTACTCGAAAACAAGATATTGTATTAATTTTGCTATGTGTAATATTTTATACAAATACAGCCCTTTCATGAGGTCGATCCATAGATATATCGTCTTCACAGAAAAGTATATCTGCGAGGTCGGTATGCTTTTTTGTGAAGACGAAATATCTGTGAATTGACCGACCGAAAGAGTTACTTTTGTTAAATTGTCGTTTTTTTAAATATTGACAAGTAAAAAATTTGAAATTAATCAATAAAAAAGCTACAAATTTCTTCTGTCATCTCCTTAAACTCATACTGAAAAAAATAAGCTTTTTGTCCTAAATTTGTCTCCTTTATTTACTGATTG